GGCAGCATTAGATAATGCAACAATTTTGTCTACCTGCTGAATGTGATGCGATGTCGTTGCTATGATTCGTTTTGTGGCTGCTTCCCACGTTATGATTGCAAGTATGAAGACATTTGATGCAATCTTTGTTTGTATGTGATCGGTATGGTGGATGACTTTGCAAAATGGGAGGGTGGCACTCCACGTGAGGCTTTAGAGTGTCTACTAATTGGATGAATATTAATGGATTTGTAGCACCAGAATAGGCGCCATTGTCACCTACAATGTAGGAAAGACTCAACGTGCACAACTTGATTTTTGGTCTTTCGTCTCTTGACACATGGCGTATAGGTAGAGAGGAGTCACTAGAGGTAGGCAGGGACAAGTTGCAATGCATTGTGATAAACTATTAATAATACTGCCCTTATAGATATTTTTATTAGACTGATCCACTCACAATGGCACCAATCTTCCCTTGTGGCTTGATTAAATTAAATAGAGTCAACACGACTATTCGTTTTATGAGGCAAACAATGTTATCAGTCACAGTTTTGCAATGGCTGCAGTGTCGTAGCACAAAGTATAACACCTTATTAATAGGAAAATCGCTTTCCTGCGTGTTTCTAAAGGCATTCATTGGAGGTGCATTTATTGAGGGTGGCATTAAGATTTGCTTTACCCTTGACTTGGTCAAATGGTGCATCGAGTTCAAAGGACTAAGTAAATCCTACATCTATGGGTTAGCTTGGCCAAAGACCTGTGAAATGCCACCAAGGCCGGTCTAAAACATCTTCAGCAGTGTCCAACTATTAAGCTGTTCGGCTTTACGCTTATCCCATAGGAATGCATCCCACTTCAGTCAAGATTTGTCTCTCAGTTCAAATGCGGTGTCAAAAAATCAAAGATTTCAATTGTTTATTAATATCTGGAGCATAACAGATAGCACCGTTTTGATTTACGATCCCCTATTAACAATTGAACAGCAAAACTCTTCACAACTTCAGTAAAACAAACGGTAGGCATGACACATTCCTGTCTTGACCATTTTAAGTGCAGAGCGTGTTATTCTCCCCTCCGCAATAGAGAGCACAAAACAAAAGTTGCATTATTTTTAGAATCAAGACAGACTATCCTTCACTTGAACGTCGTATAAATGAAGGAAATGTGAGGCAATGTTTGGAGTGACAGAAAAAAACGCTTTTATAACACTAAGCTTAGAGTTAGATATAAACATCTAGGTCTACAAATTTTGCGATTCTACAGTGTGCCATGCAGCTGCAGTAGCGACATACCAAACTACGTCAGTGTACCCTCAGTTTGGCAGGAACTGATATAATGCTGAGAAAGATGATTGGCTGATTTCCTTTCTCGAATCCCATTGGTCATATCGCTGCCAATAAGAGGCATATGCATGTGTGCAGACGGTGGCCATCGTCTTAAGTTAATTTGTGCTGCCTAAGTTAATCAGTATCAGTCGTTAATGTGAGTTTTTTGACATTTCTGCTGTATTGAAAATAGAGCGAATATAATCTTTACTTCTAATCACGTTTATTTAAATTTTTGTCGTTCTTTTCCAGCATGGGTAGGGGTATGTCGCACGGCTTCATGATTATTTTTCATATACTTGCTGCCCTCCTCACTGTAAGTGCTGCGACTAGAATACGGTTGTTCCTGTGATATCATTTACTGGAGAAGAGATTGTCGTCTTCTTCATCTTAGGTTGGCTTCCTCTCAATAGCTATTGCAGGCATCCATCTGAAAATATCACAGGATTCGGTAAAATCAACACCTTGGATTGACTTTGGTGAATACGAGAGTGAGGACGAAAACATTCGTATGTTTGCGAGCTTAGTAGCAGAATGCTCTGGTATGTAATTAACTAAGTCATGCAATCGCACTTCCACTTCCCCATCCCTTTTTTGAAGTTAATCTAAACGGAACTAACGTTTTACCTTCAGAAAGGCTGACTATATATTTCATTGTGACGGCATTCGGTTTAGCGCTTCTCTCCCTGATTGGATTAATTATCAACTGCAGTGGTTACAACATGCTGTTTAAAATAGTGAGTCGGTGTGATATTTGTGCGAAATGAACATTAATTCACAGGACAATTTATTGTCATTTGTTTTCCTATTTATTCGCCAGTATTGCGCCATTTTGATTGTTCTGCTTCTTACACAAATCACCATTATTGCCTTGGCCTTTCCCACTCCCAACAAATATGCCGACAGATTCGTCGCCTCGAAGGCAGCTCTTCTCAAGTCCTACGGAAATAACACCGATGAAGGAAAAAAGGCAACTGGTTTCTGGAATGTGCTCATGAAGGTATGAGTCCAATCTACTTAAATTGTCATGCCTCGTTAATGTGCCCTCAAGTGTGTCTTTTCCAAACAGTCAAAACCTCAGTGCTGTGGTCTGGACGGCTACGAGGACTTCGGTGAGTTGAAGGCGACTATGCAACTGTTGGTTGCGATGGCTCAAATCTTCACCAGCCTTATTAATGTTGTAGAAGTGCTGGGCAAAGCTCTGCCACTTCCATGTTGCAAGATCACGACTGGCATTTGTGATGCTAAAAAGGCTAAAGAAGTCAGTGTAAAAGGGTGCAGGGAAAAGGTTGAACTCCTTGGTGTAATGAAATGTACGTCTGCCTTTTCTAATGT